AAAATATATCTATTATCATTATTTTTTTAGAGAATGATGATATGTTACTGTTTTTGAACATGCACTGCGTCAAGATACTAAATTGCAGTGAAGCCCACAAGGGGACTAGATCAAATCAATAATTTATTTAGGATGGAAGTTCAACAAGATGAAGCATGTAACACGCAAATTAATAGGATTTTGTGTTGCAAAAACTATATTTAGAGTACTATACAGTGAGGATGTTTCTCTATAAAATTGCTATTGCATCAGTTAATCCAACATTTATGACACATGTCATAGTTATACATTATTGAAATATTTTTTTTATGAAAAAATTAATAATCTTACATTAATATACGCCAAAATATCGAATAATACTTTGATAAATTATTAAACATTAATTTAAAATTACGCATAAGGTATTAGACTATTTGCCTAATTTGCATATGGTAACTAGTATATTATATAATGGACTAAAATCAACCAAGAAAGTTAAGCACTTGAGCTTAGGTCCACGTTATAACAGCTCACTCAGTGAATAGTGTTTCCACTTTCCAATTTCCATTTTGTGAATTGGACGAGCACGAGCCCCCCCAAATAAGTGCTGATAATGGACCCTAATTTCGCCGGAAAACCCTTTTCTGCACCGTACATAGCCGCCCGGGCCGACCTTGACCAGATGCCCGACACTCCAACACGCGGGACCCGACACCGTCGGGTCCAGTCCGAGACCTTCTTCCGCTTTCCGGACTTTGATGACGACATGCTCATCGACGGCGTAGTTTCCGACTTCAACTTCGACAACCCCGCCGCTCCTCCCCTCCCCCAGTCTTCTGACACCTCTGTGCAGCCAGCCAACTCGGCCGACTCTTCCTCAACTGGGCCGGGTTTCAACCCCAAATCACATGCCCACTTCCGGAGTCTCTCTGTTGACTCTGATTTCTTCGATGGACTCGAGTTTGGTGCTTCGTCAGCTGCTGACGCCGCGACTCCGACCTTGACGGAGAAGAAGGTGCTGGGCTCGGGCCCACGCCATAGACATAGCAATTCTATGGATGGGTCTTTCCCAACGACATTTGAGATCGACTCTATCTCTGCCAGAAAGGCGACGGGAGCTGATAGACTTGCCGAGCTTGCCTTGATTGACCCCAAGAGAGCTAAAAGGTTAATTCTTTTAGGTGTTTATTTATTTATTTTGCAACTTATTTTCACTAATTACAAATTTCTCATTCGTTTGGTTTGTTGAATTGGATTGAATTAGAAATGAACTGGCTATTTTTTGGCCCTTCGTTCTTTGAAGTTCCCATGAATTTAGTGGGAGAGTGGCCGAAAAGGTAGTTGCAGTTAGGTGTTATGGGCAAGTTTAGCAACATATTTTTAATGTGAACATAGAATCTGCATTCCTGCCAATAAAATCTTTTGCCTAGTCTAAATAAGGAATATTTTCCCATTAGAATAACTTTTGCAAAGATATATGGCATACTATTTAGTAAATATGTTAAAATATCCTTTGAGCAAAGGGTAGGAAATACTGAAAGAGAGATTGAAGATGGTGACTGGTGAAACTACAATATGTATGTTGAATATGAAGTGATTTAGTGCTAAAAGATTTAATCGGGAACCAGATAATCAGGAAATGAGGGATTAAGATTTAAGAATGATAAGGTGGATTACTAATATACACAATTACAATGTGATGAATTAATGATTAAGTTGTGCTAAAAGATTTAACTGGAATCAGACTCGCTGGAACGAGGATTTAAGAAAGATAAGGAGGATTACTAATGGAAATGATAACAATGTGATGACTTAATAATGTCATGTATTCGTATTTAGGATTAAATTTGTTGGGTTTTAAAAATACAAACTTCGGATTGGAAAGAAATAAGTATACTGTAGTATGCCAATTGAAAAATTTAAGCTACATTCTTTGTTATACAAAATTTTAGGAATTAAGAAGTAAAATGGAAATATAGTCTGCTGGTCGAACCAATAAAGAATAAAGTGAATTAATAGATTTATGTACTATGTACCCCCAACTGATTTAACTTTCTATGCATTATGTAGGATTCTTGCAAATAGACAATCTGCAGCTCGCTCTAAGGAGCGCAAAGTTCGTTACACCGGTGAGCTGGAGAAGAAAGTCCAGACCCTACAGACTGAAGCAACTACTCTTTCTGCACAAATTACACTGCTTCAGGTATAATTTTAGACATACCTTATACTCTATATATAGTTATGTACCATCCCTGAAGTCGGTGATAGGCTGATAGCCTTGGACTGTATAATATCATTGATATGTATGTATGTTTATTTACATGTTCTATTCAATTACAGCTTAATCTGGATTAGATTTCTATGATAATTTATTTCCTTGCTATGAGCCTACTAGTTATTACAGCATAACATGGAGTAAAAGGCTTCATGTATTGTTATCTGTGATTTTTCTGTATCTCTTTTCTCTTGGTTTTTATATGGGCTGGTGATTTTCCAAGTCTCTATATAATTATTAAAAAATCTATTGAAATGACCTTTCATATTTGTATGAACTTCAAGCATGGACCAAACGGCTTTTGAGTTTGTCTACCTTAGATATCTATGGTAGGCACGGTACAAGCAGCAGTGGTCTCATGAACCTGGACTTTTTATCCTTAAAGTAAAACTACATTAAATTAGCTCACTAGTTCTAAACAATGGTATTGAAGAGAGAAGTTAGATAAAATTATTTATAGCTTAGAGAATTCGTAAATTGAGTTTAGGCTAGAATAGTTAAGACTGTCCTAAGACAAATACTTTATTTTGATGTTTCAACTGGTGGTGCAGAGAGACACTTCTGGACTGACTGCTGAGAACAAAGAACTCAAATTGCGTTTACAAGCTTTGGAACAGCAAGCACATCTAAGAGATGGTATTCCTACTCTTAACTACTATGTCAGTTTTCATTGACTTGATTCAATAGTAGTTAACTGCACACATGGAGCCCCCAATCCCATTCCCCCAAGGTTGGGGGTTTGCCTATGTACATCATGACAAATCTCTGGAATAGTGACTTAGTCCATGATTGCATCACGTGATATTCTAAAGGCTTCTTGTGCCCTTCAAATCCACTTCCATGGTGCCAATTTATTCAATCCCCCTCCTGGCGATTAAATGTTATTATGAAAAATTGATATATTTGTGTGTTTGTGTGTGGATGTCAGCTCTGAATGAAACTCTGAGGGATGAATTGCACCGGCTTAAGCTTGAAGCTGGGGAAATTCAAGGCACTAGAGGAAACAACTTCAATCGAGGGCCACAACCTCGACTCCCTCCACAACCACAGGCCTTTGTTCACCATGGCGATCACCATCACCAACAAATACAGCAGCAGCAATTTCACAGGCCTGATTCCAGTGCAAGTAGGCCAAGTGTGAGTGGGCACGCCATGTCTAGCTTCCAAAATTTCAGTCAGAGAGCTGGATAAGCACATATGAAAGACGAGACCAGGCGACAAGTAATTTACTTAGGATAGGCATTGTATATGTTTGTGAAGGGCTTGGAAGAGTCCTGTTCTAATCAATCCTCTCTGTTACCTATACTAGTTGTTGTATTGAATATTGATGTTAAGAATAGAGATTGTAAAAACAACAGATATAAATTAACAGCCATTATGATACATTCTTTACTGTAGACTTTGGTTTTAGTTGGTGCACATAGTATTTAGTATTTACCTTGCATGTCCTGAGCCTGAGGCAGGTTTCCCTCCCTTTCACATTTATTCAGCATTTCAGCTATAACTCCATATGAGTGTGGTTTTGGAGAATGGCGTGAAATATTTGGCCTACTCATTGTCTTAAAAATACATACATCTGCCTTAACCATATATTCAGCCTTAAGTAGATAAATTTATTAACGGAAAATTAATATTGACATTATTGTAATTGAAATTCTGAAAGAAGTAACCAAGTGGGTAGAACATAATTTTCTTATTATAAGTTTACAAGCTATGATCACAAGTTTGATTATTGTCAAACACTATCGGGGTTATCCAATGGATATTCTTAATAGTGGTTGGGTGTTGCTCTTGTCATCCAAAAAAAAATGTTATTTTAACATCCCACAAAAACACATTAATTAAATCAAGCAATCACCTTAATTTATCTATGTAATATAAAATAAAATACGGAAATAATAATGATTAGAAATAATGTTCAAATAGACTGTTGAATACTTGAATTGCACTTAGAAATATAATTGTAACATCCAATTAAAAAAAAAAACTACAATTGAATTCTGAAAAATACAAAAAAAAAAAGTAAAAATACAATTGAATTATGAAAAATACAAAATTGTGCAATTAAACAAAATTGACTTGTTCTACTGGTCTTGACTAATGTGATGGTTACCTTTATTAAAATAGTATTTTTAGATAATAATAATAATAATAATAATAATAATAATAATAATAATAATAATAATAATAATATTATTATTATTATTATTATTATTATTATTATTATTATTATTATTAGTTTTAAAATTTAAAAAATCTCCCAATAGAAAATGTAAATTTTGATTTAATTATATATCTTTGCATTATTCAAAGACTCAATTACAATTTTTAAGTTGAATAACTTAATTTATGTATAATTTGGTAGTTTATTTTTTTGAATGCTAATGACTCTATTACATTGTAATATATGTTCAAACATACTTTCTCAATCTAATGAAACGCACAAAGTCAACAACGTCTCCACTGAGGTTTAATCTGACCTTCCATATGAGAGAGGTCACTACATGCCATTTGAACATTATTCTACTTATTGTTTTAAATAAATTCACTGAAATCATCTCCTATTTACATCCTCCTATATGGTTTGTTGGACTGGGGGAGGAAAAAAAAAAACACAACTAAAACTAAGATTATATAGTTTTGTCGCCTAGTAGGAGTTAAATACGGTTATTTTTGTATATGGTATGGTGAGTGGTGGAAGTAGAAATTAGCAATTAGGCAATTACAGACTGTACGCGAAAAACAGTCAGTCAACGATAAGTAGCAGTAGCAGCACATGAGCATTCTCCTTCCTGAGACCCAACGCCACCCCGCTTTCAAATTCTCTCATCCGTCGGAAAATACCGAAATCCCGTCGGCCGGAGGGCCCCCACTATCATCACTATGGATTCCTCTCCGCTGAATCGGCTACCTCAAGACACCTTTCATCAGATCTTCACCCACCTACCGCTTCGCGATATCTTCATTTCCAGATGTGTCTGCAAAGCCTTCAACGCATCTCTGTCTTCTCCGCCTTTCCTCCACCTAATCGCCGCCCACCAGCCGCCTCTCTCCCTCCTCGCACTCCGCCCCTCCCACCGCCACTCTCACGGCGGCGCCGGCGGCGGATCTTCCTCCCCTTCCCTCCACGTTTTCGACACATCCCTCAACCACTGGTTCCGCTTCCCTCTCTCCTTCCTCCCCTTCCGCTCTCACTACCCAATTACTTCCTCCCACGGCCTCCTCTACCTCTGGGCCGAAAACCCTACCCAGAACCCACCCCACAACCACAATACCAAGACTCTCGTCGTCTGTAACCCTCTCCTCCGCGATTACAAGGTCCTGCCTCAGCTTGGCTCCGCTTGGTGCCGCCACGGCTCCGTCCTCGTCGGCTCGCCCAATCAAGTCCTTGTGCTCACTGAGCTCGCCGCCATCTATTTCAGTTCCGCATCCGCTCCCAACAACTGGCAGAAATTTTCCTCCAACTTGCCGTCCAAGCCGCGGAGCCCAGTCTTGATCTCCGACACCATTCTTGCTCTCTGCGATGTGGGATCTCCGTGGCGATCTCAGTGGAAGCTGTTCAAGTCAACAATTAAGGATTTGCAGTTGACCCAGCAATGGACTCGCCTAGAGAAGCATGAATGGGGGGATATTTTCGACATCCTGAAACGACCTCGTTTGTTAGTGGGCGACAAGAATAAGGTGTTAATGATTGGGGGATTGAAGATTTCTTACTCATTGCACAGCTCTTGTTCCACCATTTTGATTCTGAGGTTGGATTTGGAGAGCTTGGAATGGGAAGAGGCCGGGCGAATGCCGCCTGAAATGTTTAAGCATTTCCAGGATTCTACAAAGTTCAAGGTATTTGGTGGAGGAAGCAGAGTTTGTTTCTCAGGGAAGAGAGTGGGAAGATTAGCTCTTTGGGAGGAACGTGAGAATGGAGAAGCAGATTGGCGGTGGATCACTGGAGTTCCAGGCAATGGTGATGGACTTTATAGAGGCTTCATGTTCCAAGCTCGGCTTACCGCTTTGCCATAGAGCAGGAGGTGGAAACACCCACCATTTGCTTGCTTAAATGGTAATTTTTTTCAAAAAATTTTCTGTTTTAACTAGTAATCATATATTGGTTTTGGTGTGATAACAATGATGAAAGATGAAAACTTTATTATATCACTGTAATGGGGCAGAGGCCTTCTTGGTCCTTCTGAAGCAGATTTTAGATAAGGCTAAATGTTGTTGTATTATTATGTCTTTGTTTTTTGAATCCATTCCAAATGACAATTGAGAATTTTACATACTTTAATTATGTTATTTTTACAACTGTAAACACATGTAATCTGCTTTATATACATTTAATTTGCTCTCTTTTGTTCTGTGTTTAATACTTTAATCTGTCAAACTTTTGATGATTTTGTACTCCCTATGGTTTTGATGATTTTATGAGCTCTTTCAATAAATATTCTCTATATTAGGTTGTTTCTCCCTAAGTTGAATGGAAAAGCTACATTGCACCGAGTCTTGTAGCATTCTCCAAGTTAACTGTTCTTCTATAATCCCTTCATTCCTTGCAAAATTAGGAGCAATGTTTCTCTAATAAATGCACTTGTAGACTTTGGCAGTTTGGCCTCAACAGTCATATTTTGATCAACTCTTACCTTGAAGCTAGTTGCTTCTCGTTAGAATTCTGAGCAAACATCATAGGTTTGCTCCTTTTAGCTTATAGTTCGCACAAGTTATTCATTAGTAATGTTCTCTCTTCTCTGTGCTAATGAATGTTTGGTTTAATCTCTTTCTAGTAGTTTCCCGAAAGAGAGATTGGTTAGTAGTGCTCCTATTAAATATATCAGTAATCTAGAGAAAAACACTTTCATCTGGATACTTGACTGAGCTCTTGCATTCTGTGCTTGTAATTTGGATGAGTTGTTGACACAAGTTGCTAATAGAACTTCAACCATTGATAGATATGTGAATGTAGTATGCAGTGCATAACATTCCTCTTCATATCAATTATCTCGAAAAAACACTTCCTTCTAGATACTAACCAAGCAGTCTGAGTTCTTCAATTATGTGTCGATCATTTGGATGAATTGTAACATGTTACACAACTTGCCTGACTTGTGAGAAGCACTCTGTTTCTTAATGTGATTTGTTTTAGGTGCTGATGTGAGGCTGTTCTCTGAAGTTTTGCAAATCCTTACAAGTCAGTTCCAAATTATTAAGCATGCATACATCCTAAATTTAGCCAGAATTTTAGTTGAAGTTGCTGCAAATACCTAAAAATTAGCATATTTTATCCCTCTCCTACTTGCTATCTTTTATAATTTCTATTCCTCCTACTCCTTTCTTGTTTTTGTTTTCTACTCTTTTTCATTATAGCAGAGGATCCCTCTACTGCTCCCTTTTCTTACTTTCATTTTTTGTTTGTTTTCTCCTGCAACTACTAAGGGACATGAACATAAACAGCTCTCATTTGTTATCACAGTCTTACTGTTTCAATAAAATTCCTGATTGAATCTTATTTATCCCCTCGTTTTCTTGTCCTTCCCATGAACATTAACATGGTGTTTGGTTGAATGTAATTGAGTTGTAATTGAATTGTAATTCAGTGAATGCCTCAATTACATTGTTTGGTTGGAGGGAATTGCAATTCACTCCTTTTGTTGAATTGCAATTCAATGCTTGAGGGAAAGGAAAAAATAAAAGAAATGACAAAAGTATCCTTGTTGATTGTTATTATTATTTTTACACAAGGACATTTTAGCCTTTATACCACTTTTCTCCTTTTCATTCTCAATAATTCTATTCCTCCCTACCAAACTATGTAATTTGAATTCCTACCTTATTCTTTTCCACCGAATTGCAATTCATTTCCTTCTTAATTAAATCTCTGCCTTTCTACTGCTCTTTTTTTTGTTGGTCCCAGACTATGCATCCCTCTATGTACCGTACATCTGCTCGGTATCTGGTCGGACTGCCAAGGGATTATTCCCGACCTTGATCGAGCATAAGCTCGATCTTGCTGATCCCAATGCGGTAGCCAAGCTAGCTGGAGGCGGCGGTAGCATTTCTGCCACTCTGACTGACCCCAATCAGTTGTGGTCGGGATAATCATCCCGAGCAGTGCTACTTAAGCGCTTAGTCCTAGATTTCGAGCCTTACTCTAACTACTCTTAGTAGGCGATCGGGAATCTAAGCACACTTGGCCAACAAGGCACTACTCCTGAGCTTACTAGCTTCATGCGCAACATGTGGCAGGCATACCGAGAGCCTGTAATGTGTCCCTTTCCGTTCTTTATAAATACCGCATTTATGATTTGGGGGCGGGGGGAGGGACTTTTGGGGCATTCTCACCTACCACTTATCAGCTCGGAACTCTCTAATCTCACATAGGTTGCCCGAGCTCAGTACTTATACTAACTAACGAATTATACTAAGATCATATGATCCGACCCGAATTTCGGGTGACAGTGTATTTACACTATCAGTTGGTCTTCCACCACTATCCTAGAGTGTGAACGTTATAAATCATGTTTTGTGATTTTAGCCAACGAATGACCATAATGAGGTAAACCAACCTAGATTATTCGTAATTGACCGGTTTAAACCAAGAAGGCCTGTAAGTCGCTCTTATTGAGAATCAAACTTGGAACCTTGTAGTTACTAAACTAACAATCTAATCAACTTGGTTAGGGTTGTCTTGTCTTCCCATTTTTAAATCTGTTTTCTCTGAATCTCTATGAATATGTGTTATTCTCCAAATCTCTCGTTTTATAACTTATAAGCCATAAGTTAGTCCTGTAATAAAGACCTTCAAGCCCAAGCAAGTACCAAATTAATGAAAACCTTTTTCAGTCTAGAGTGCAATCCAACATGAGGAATCAGAAGCCAGGATTCATCATTTACATGCACAAGTAGAGTCTTTAGAGAAAACCATTACAGCATCAACAAGAAGAAAGCATAGAATTGTCTGAATGAAGTCACATAACATACACACATCTAAACCAGATCCTCCTTTGACTGGTTCTGGCCCTTTTTTATGCCTAATTGTATGTCTTCTCCGCCGGGGTTGCCATCAGGGAAGGATTTCTTCTCACAGTAAATGGCATACAATATCAACTGCACTGCTCCTAAGCCACACCCAAAACCATTTGGTATCTGCAGTTCAAATTCCATCACAGTAAGAGCTGTTTCTGATGTCTGCAATTCATTATAAAAATATTTTCAATGGAACTACTTACAGCAACAAAGGGGTCCTTTCCCAGCAATCCAAAGATGAACCATGAAGTGCCACACAAGAACACAAACAGAGACAAGAAGAATGGCATGAACTCCACACTCTTTGTTTTAATCACTAGCCTCTACACATAACAGAAAACTCAGTGAATTTATGAGGTGTGCAAAGTAAAGTAAACAGGGAAGAAGTGACAAGAAAGAGCTTACTATGATTGACAGAGGTGAGCCATACATAATAATGGAGAGGATTGTTGCCGCAACGCCACAGAAAAGCTTCCTGGTTTTTCCATGCAATGCAAGCAAGGAAACCAAAGCGACAGCAGCAAATATAAGAAGGGATAAGATGAAGATTGCTCCTATCTTCTTCTTTGCCTTCTTTGGTGCAAATATAAGGAATACCAACACATAAATGAACTCAATTACAGCACCAGTCCCATTGATTGTTGACACAAGCAAGTTGTTAGGTGACACAAAAGGCATACCATACCTATCGAATTGGTAAACGAAAAATCAGTGAATTGAATCAGAAATCTTCCCACAGAAAAAAAAGGTTTGGCTGTATTGCTGCTAAAAGGACTAGCATCACTGTAATCTAAAGATTATCACAACAGAACTTCAAAATTTACAGCTGAGATTCTTGGGTAATCACTGCAGCTTGTAAAATAAAACAGAAAAAAATGGCAAAAAGATAATTTACAGCTCCAAGTACTGGTAATCAAGTGGCAGATGCAATTTCACAAAATGTCTGAGAATGCAACATATCAATTTATCAGAAGAGTGAAGATGAAGAAGATGACAGACTAATGGTAGAACTTGTGAGAAAGTAATCTTTGAAATTGTGTCATTATAACTATCATTTAGAAGCTACTTGAAGAGAGAACATAAGAAAAACCAGTTTCTTCAGGAATACCAAGCAGAAAGCAAACAGTTGAGCATGGTCATGACATAGGGCAAGCCAGAAAACTGTTCAGTCGATTTTTTTGCGACGATCCTCTTAAATGTAATCCTGAAATTGTTCAAGGAAAAAAAATAAAGAAAATGGTATTAGAACTAGAAGTGAAATAGGACGCAACAAATTAAAGATAACTCTAAACATGTAGAAGAGAGAAGAAAGGAAATTCTTGAAACTCACAATGGTGCCAGGAAGAGGAACAAAGCAGTGACATTTCCTGGGAACAAGAAAATGAATTGAAATTACTAAAGAATATTGAAAAGAGAAAGAAAGAAAGGTTGGATTTTGATTTAGAAAACTCACCAAAGATCCCGAGCACAAAATGCAGAGTATTAACAACGTTACCCATCTGGTTCAGCTCACAATACTCAATCCGGATGTAGAAAAGAAGCCAGCCAAGAAGGGATTTTGAAGAAAACCCAGAAGAAGAAAGAGTCCAAGAACTGAAAGCAGATCAGAGTCCAAGAACTGATTTTGAACTAAAAAAAAATCAGAGTGGAAATTAAAATGAAATGAAATGAAAAGAGTGGTCTAAAGAAATAGGGTGGGTTGTGTCATAAAGAGAGCGTTTTGCAGTTGTACGTGAGAGAAGAGTAGGCAGAAAAGGGTTATATATAGAAATGGAGTAAAAGACAGTCTCCCATCCTCATCGTTAGCAGCGCTTTTTTTGCAAGAGGTAAAATGCTTCACTAAATTAAGCTTAAGCTTTCTTGCTCCTGTCAGCTTCTTGATGGATCATCTTATCTGATCCCGTGCTGCCTCTTTTATATATATATATATATATATATATATACAACTCAAGTTTCTTAGCTTCACCATTATATATTGGTCCCCATAATTTTTTGAAAATTTAAATTACAAAATGCTAAATAAATTTGAGGCATAATATAATTTATCAACCTTGATAATAGCATTTGAGTTTTGAAAATTTTGAAGGTAAATTATCATCACTCTATATATGTCAGTATTTATATATATAGCACTGCTTGTTGAGCATATATATATAATATATAAACATAAATGTGTAAGCCGATTATCAATTTAGATTTTTAGTTAAGAATATCTAGATGTTACATTACACAGTGACGGTACAAGAGTAATATAAGAATACAGAGTAAGAGTCCTAGTAGAATACAAGTATTATAATCCTAACAGTTATGATCAAAGATGATCATAGTATTACTGGGCGTTTGGTTGGAAGGAAGAAATTATGAGAAATATGAATTGTAATTCCGTGGGAATAAAGTATGAATTCAAATTACGTTATTTGTGGGGGAGAAATATAATTATTGGAATTGAGAAGGAAAGAAGTAGTATAAAGACTAAAATACCCTTGTGTAATAATAATAACCAAGGGTAATAGTGTCATTTCATCTATTTTCCCTTTCTCACATCCATTGAATTGCAATTCAATACCGAATTGTAATTCCCTCCAACCAGACAATGTAATTCATCATGTTCATTGAATTTCAATGAACAGGCCAATTGAGAAATGATGATTGACAAAAATGGAAATATTTCATGTGCTGCCCAACATTGACACCTATTATAATTAAAAATTTATTTTAGGGATTATTGACATGAATGAAAATATTTCACGTGATGCCAAATGCGTTTGACACACCAATTATAATTAAAATTCATTTTAGGTACAAGCGTAACAAACCCAAACTCAAGAACTTATTTAGCTTCTAACACACAAATGCAGCAAGGAGGAAAATTTTTTGTAGCATGAATTAATTATTATTAAATTATTGTGTCCTAAGATTAGGCAAGGCTTGTGATCTGGTAAAAAAAGGTGGTGATCAAATCTCCTTTTGGATGAAAAAGAAGAGGGGCCGTGCGGGCCAGCTACGCTACAGCATGCATGCATGCATGCGTACTGTGAACTGAAGTTTACACAACCAAAAAGGTATATTTTGCCGTATGAATAGGGAAGCATCAGTTACATAATAATTTGCTCATCGCACCAAACTGCTTATATATATATATTTCTTTTGAAGAGATAAATACGGTGTATAAGCCTAAACAAGTCGAAATTTTCTTACCGTACGGCCCGCATCTCGACCCGACAAGATAGTGATTTGAAGGTGTAAATCATAATGAACTCAACGGTCATATCATGACCCAACAAAATAGCAGATGCGTAAATCATGGCGACTCAGCGGCTCATTAAGTAGGGGACCAATGCATATACTATACCCATAAGGAGAACAACACATTAGGTGAGGCTCCCACGCCCGGAAACCCGGAAAATGACTTCTGGAAAATGAGTCATTTTTCAAAAAATATTTTCTTTCCCGTATTTAGTTGCATTTGGAAAACTGTCTTGGTGTGTTTGATTCATTTTTTGAAAAATGAGTAAAATTGTATAATTAAACATTTTAAATATTTTATTTAGATATATAACCATCAGCTCTATAAATATAGTATCAATCTACAAAGGAAATAGCAAAATGCAGAAAATGAAGGCAAATAAAAAACCCTACTGGATGGATTACATATTCATATCAATAAAAGACTGTATGTGTAGTTTATGATATTATTCTTGGTGATGGAAAATATACTTCGGATGAGAGTAAGGAATGAATGAATTAATTAATTTGATGAATAATGTTATAATAATATAATCATTTTTTTTTTTTTGAAAAAAAGTTGGTTTCAGCAGAAACCATATATACCGGCAAAAACCATGTCTTAGCGTGTCAGCGGAAAATGACTTCCACCAAATTTTGGTGGAAGTCATTTTTCTCTAAAATGGCTTTAAATTTCGTTGACTGAATTTTCTTATTGCGTCTAAACACAACCCAGAGGCTATTGCAGCCCTTTCTTGGACTCGTCAGGTCTTCTCAAAATGTTAATCGATCAAACTAGTCATTTTAGTTGGTTTACTACCATTCCTTCTTGTATTCATATACTTTCTCAATCTACTGAAATACAAAGAGCCAATAATGCCAATAATGCCTCTACTGAGGCTCGAACTCACAATCTTCCAAATGAAAGTCCAACCCGGATACCATTAGACCACATAGTCCTGGTTAATATTGTGATTCTAATGAAGCTTGTTTCCTTTTAAAAAAAAAAACTTATTTCAATTAATTGAACACCCTTAACTTTTTCTATATTAAATATTAGGTTATAACTAATTTTTAAAAGGTTGAATAGAGGGAACAAAATTTTTTTAAGTGACTGGCTGTTGACTATCTAAATTAAAATATTAAAATTGAGCATAATAAATGAGATCACTACTTGCATGATTGAATCTAACGGGAGATCAATACTCAAATATAGTTTCATTATTTCTTGATGTGCTTTCTTCCTCTTTTAGTTGGTTTGGTTGTGTTTATCTTAAAATAAAAAATAAAAAATCTATATGGTGAATGTTCTAAATTACATTTATTAATAAGTTTTAAATGGAGAGAGAGAGAGAGAGTTATATATATTAAATAAAAAAAAAAAAGAGGAAAATACGCCCATAAGAGAGCTCAGTGCCCTGGTGAGAAAAAAAATAATAGCTAGATTTGATGTCAAATTTTTAAGGGATAAAGTACAAATAAGTCACTGTACTATTTGGAAAAAAGCAATTAAGCCATCAAACTCAAATAACCCCCAAATAAGTCATTGAACCAGAAAAAAAGAGCAATTATCATTTTTAACAGTCATATACTTTCTCAACCCACTGAAGCCAATAACGCCTCCACTGAGGCTCAAACTCACAACCTTCCACTTGGAAGTCCAACCCGGATACCATTAAACCACATAGTCCTGGTATAATCCACCTACATAGTAAAATATTTTAAAGTAATTATAATCAAAGTAGTTTTGTTTTGTCTAGATCTGATTTATTTATTTATTATTATTTTTTAAACAAAAGATCCAGTGAAAAAATAATAATAATAAATAAATCAAATCTCGACAAGACAAAACTATTTTGATTATAATTACTTTAAAATATAATACTATCCAAGTGGATAATATTATTAAAAATAATAATAATAAACGTAAATAAAATAAACATTTGACAATCCAATTAGCAAAAACCTGGAGTTAACCTGTAAAAAATGTTAATTGCTCTTTTTTTCAGGGTTCAATGGCTTATTTGCTTTTTTTTTTTTCCCGGGTTCAATGGCTTATTTGAGGGTTATTTGAGTTCGATGACTTAATTGCTGTTTTTCAAATAATTCAGTGGCTTATTTGTACTTTATCCCAATTTTTAAAAGTATATTATTTTATAATATACAAATTAATATATTTTCAGTATTCAAATATAATATACTAAAAGTACATTATTTAATTACTGAATGTACACAATATTTGATACTATACAAAATAATGTACTTTTAATACTCAAATAATGTATTTCCAAATAATATATTTTATGTAATTTTTATTTGTGATCTACATAACTATGTGGATCATGGTCCATAAAATAATAATACGTACTTGATATATACTCCGATCTACTTATGTATAAAAGCGTAGAATTTAGTATCAGAATTCAAAATTAAATTGACTCGAGTTATTACTTACGGGTTTGAAAGCATATTTATGATTACATGTTATATGTGGTGTTTGGTAAATAGCTGCTAGCTGGAGTTAGTGGGTTTAACTAATTGATAGCATTAGTTGATTGTAGAAGAATATTTGATAAATTGCTTGTTTGCTGATTACATATAAAATGATTTTTCAAAAAGTTATATTAAGCAGCTTTTTAAATTTTAGTATTTTAAAGCAATAAGTTGTAACAAAAATTTAATTAATTAAATACTCATATTGTGTTTTTTTTTTGAGTGATACTGGCTCTGTTATAATATAGTATCTATTCATATACTTTCTCAACCTACTGAAACACAAAGAACCAATAATGTCTTCATTAAGGCTCGAACCCACAACCTTCCAAATGAAAGTCCAACCCAGATACCACCATATAGTCTTAATAATGCTTATATTGTTTGTTTAACTAAGTTAAACAATTAATGGTGGTCAAATAAATCAAAATGACTAATAAACTAACTATTTTAGCAAAGGGTTATAATGATCATCGAAACGTGGTTATTAAAAAAAAAAAGTTGCAATCGATAAATTGGTTGATACCAGAACTTCGTCATGAAAATCGAAAGCTTCAGTGACGGTTAAAACCGTTAAAATATGGTGGCAATCAGTTGGAGAGGCTTGACTAGCTGGTATGAGAGATGAAATGCAAATTTGAAAGAATGAGATGACGGGCAGAGTGTTTAGTGAAGATCACGAATTTCTACACTTTGGAAATCAGAAAAAACTCGAGACTTGCCAACACCAAAACCGCCCAGCTTTACAACTCGAACTTCCCGAACAAAGCCGAGATTTTTTCCCTTGGAAAAACGCCGCAACGCCATCAGCAAATTGGTCATACCATATACGGAACTGCGTGTCCCTAGGGAATTTTAAAGAAGCCCTTTGGATCTATGCCCGAAACCGCGGTACCCGAAACATAATACTAGGTGCTGTACCCATAGTGCTCAAAGCTTGTGCCTCCCTCTCTATGGTTATTCCTGGCAAGGCTTTACACGCTGAATGTGTGAAGTCAGGGGTGGAATTTGATGTGATGGTGGGTACTGCATTGGTTGACTTGTATGGGAAATGTGGAGATGTTGTGAGTTCGCGCCAAGTGTTTGATGATATGCCTAAGAGAAACGTGATTACTTGGAATGCAATGATCGGTGGGTATATGAAGAATGGGGATACAAATTCTGCATTGCTAGTGTTTGAAAGTATGCCAGAGAGAACTTCGGTAACATGGAATGAAATGATTGATGGCTATGGGAGGAACGGGGACTTAGTGATGGCGAAGCAGTTATTTGATAAGGTTCCAGATGGGTTGAGAAATGTGGTGACTTGGACTGTGATGGTTGATGGTTATGCTAGCTGTGGGGAGATGGATGCTGCAAGGGAAGTGTTTGAGGGGATGCCGAGAAGGAACTTTTATGTCTGGTCATCCATGGTATCAGGGTATTTCAAGAAGGGTGATATTAAGAATGCTAAAGCTATTTTTGAGAGGATGACTTCAAAGAATTTGGTGAATTGGAATTCACTGATTTCTGGGTACACACAAAATGGGCTGTGTGAGGAAGCTTTAGAAGCCTTTAGAAAAATGCAAGATGAAGGGTTTGAGCCAGATGAGGTTACAATGGCAAGCGCTTTATCAGCTTGTGCTCAGCTGTCATTATTGGATGTTGGCAAGGAAATACACGAGATGATTGTTCAGAAGGGGGTTAAAGCAAACCAGTTTGTTCTGAATGGATTGGTTGACATGTATGCCAAGTGCGGTGATTTGAGCAATGCCAGATTGATCTTTGAAGGAATGCCACATAAAAACGATGCAACTTGGAATTCTATGATTTCTGGTTTTGCCATTCATGGTCAACCTGAGGAGGCCATTGAACTTTTTAGAAGAATGGAGAACTCTGGTGTGACTCCTAACGAGATAACATTTCTTTCAGTCCTATCAGCTTGTGCACACTGTGGGTGTGTAGAAGAAGGCATGGAAATTTTCTATAAGATGGAGAAGTATGGGTTAATGGCAAACATCAAGCATTATGGTTGTCTAGTTGACCTTTTAGGAAGGGCAGGAAAGTTACAGGAGGCTCTTGATTTGATCAAGGGGATGCCTATAAGCCCAAATGCCACTGTTTTTGGGTCTCTTCTTGGAGCATGTCGAATTCACGGCAACATGGATATGGCAGAATGTGTGCTTGAAGAGGTTGAGAAATTGAACTCCAATAGTCGCCCTTGTGATGATTTACATTATGTGCTGCTGTCTAATATTTATGCCTCCTCTGAACGATGGGAGAAAGCTCAACAGACAAGGTCAAATAAAGGGTCTCAAAAGATGCCTGGGTGCAGTTTAGTCATGCTTGAAGGCCCTTACTAGAGTATATTTCTCCGAGTTCTACTACATGAACTCCCAAATTCTACTCCCTCATTTCTACTCCCTAATGTGGCAAGTCAGGATTGGTTATTTTCAATATGTGGGTCCACAGAAAAATGTCTACATCAAGAACATGTGAGAGGGAGTACAAGTTGGGAGTATAAAATGGGAGTGCACAAAGTATTTTCCTATTTCTCCCCATTTGCATTACTGCATTTTTTTCTGGATGTCCAATGAAGTCTATGGTGGCTTGTGAACAATATGGATCACAGTACAAACAAAATTGAGTCTGTCACTGAAGTAATTCCCGGATCCTTTGTATCTATTTGAGGTAACTAATCACTCCCTTTTTAACAAACATCCTCCCCCACTATATGTAACGGATGGCGATATGGCACAGACAAAAGCTTTGTCCGGCATTCATCCGTTAAAGCACCCACAGAGATACCATCCACAGTTTCCAGGTGACATCATTCTTCTTGCACTCCCCTATATATCCTGCCTTAGCTCATGAAGATAGATAGAGAGAGAGAGAGAGAATGGATATGATGAGAAAATGGTTCAGAAGGTTGAAGAAGATGTTGAAAGCAAAGGGCAAGAGGTCAGCAGAAGCAGAAGAAACTGCTTCTTCAGCTTCACCTCCTGCTGCAGCAGCTCAGGATGAGCAGCTATTTCTCTCACCCAAAGCCAGCAGAAGCACTCAAGCTACAACTGAAATTTGTGATGATCATCCAGCTACAGCCTTGTCAAATTGATGCCCAATATTTCTCTTAAAAAATAATAATATCTGTATTTTGAGTAGTTTCTTCTTGTTCTTCCTTGGTGCACTTCCTGTACTTTCTATTATGATCTAGTGTATGTTTTCCCTTTCAGTTCTCTTCTCCGGTGGTCTAAATCATGATGCCAGTGTTTCCATGTCATTCTACACTGAATTTGGACATATACAAATAAAATTAATTGATGACTGTTTCTATTACAAATGGAAATTATACAAGGAAAAAAATTTACAGTATTTACTATAACAGAAAAAATAGAAGCACAAACATTGCAGTAAAGAGTAGGTTACAAGAACTGTTTCAATAACATAATCTCAAGGTAGAGGCATGGGTGGTTTCCATTTTTTGAATTCCACCAAATCTCTGTTCACTATTGTTCTATTATGAAGCCAGAATGTTTCTGTGGATTGATGGAATTGCCTCACTTTCCTCTGGAGTTCCCAAATGATTCCATTAAATGCAGAACAAGTATCAGGTGCGGGAGAATAAGCCCATAAACACCTCACTTTTCTACCCCTGGCTATCATCTCCTCAATTTCCCTATCTGTGAAACAAATAACAAGATACTTATAACCATATCGACATTGACCAGGAATGTCAATGTGGAATGTAATAACAAAGTGCAGTAGGCTGACCAGGTATTGACTCTAGGTACTCCAAAAGTTCAGTGCCTATCCGAGAGGATGGCCATTTGATTGATATCTGGGTGTAGTCGATGACATTTTGAAATGGCATTTCTACTTGATCTGATAAGAGGACTGGAACACACTCCTGTTTGGCATAACAAGCAGCTTAAATGATAAGTGTGAAATTCATATATGCTGAAAGATGTATCCATGATTAGGAGTGAGAATATGATACCACGAAAAAGGACTCATAAAACCGAAGAGTCCACGATGATTCACCGCGTGGAGCAAGGCAGAACTTGGCATTGCGGAGATGTTGAAAATATTGCACTCGTCCAAGTTTATCAGGACCACTGAATTTCAACTCTGGAGATTCCAACTGCAGAAAAAAATTAAAAATGCTATCTTTGGGGAAATATTATATTAATGGTATCAATTTTGGCTTAAGAAATTATTTTGATATTGCATGCACATAAACATAAAATAAAAAATTAGAATAGAAGCATAAGATCATTCAGTGTTTCACACTTCTAATTGATAGCTCAATTATTCATCACAAGGATAAGTTTTGCTTCTCCAAACTAGCACTTTCAGATACAAAAAAACATCATTTTAGGTGTTTGTTGACTTGTAATAACAATATCAAAAGCAACACTCCATTGTCATTTATAAATCTCTATACAAGAACATTAATCACTGTCTAGAAAATGTTTAGTACATCAGTCAAGTAAATATTTTACATCTGTTAGCAAGAATGTTGGCTGTATGTAGATTCTAATATAGCTGGAAAAGAAGACACACCTTTTCTGGGAATTGTTTTGCAAGTTTAATCAATTGAAGACGACCAACCTTTCCTTGCGCTCGACCTAGAAAGTTAGCCAAGTACTTCCTTTTTGACAAAGGCAAAGGCTCAACAACCCTAGAGCCATGAGCAGTCATCCCATCATCAACATTTCCAGGGATGATAATATCTTTCCACGTATTGAAAGCACTAGTGTCTCGTTTATCTGTTCGATCACCCTGCATCATACACAAAAGCCTATTTCTCACCATGGAACAATGAGCACTGTAGAATTCCATGAAAGTCTACATACACATCATGAAAGCAAGGCTTTCCATATAAAGCTTTTAAAAACTGCTTATTTGGAAAAATGAATAATCAATAATAACATCTTGATGCTTCCAGATATGAAAAATTAAAAGGCTCAGGTAAGATTCAAATAGATCTGGTGTATTTTTACACAACCAGAGAAGGAAATGGTCCATATGTGTATATATGAGTGTGCAGGCATAGCACTCTATGATAAAGATGTAACACTTGAGAGATTCTACTCATGCTGAACTGCTGATGCGAGTATGCGACTAAAATATTTAGACTTGATATACGAGGCAAAAAGTGAATTCTATATAATTAAGAAGTGGACAAAAGAAAAGGAGAGAAGAAAAATCATGCAAACAGATGAAGCATTATTGAATGGCAAGAGTGGTAGTGCCGTAGTGGCCATCCCTCATCACAGGATGTCTTGTATCATATATTCTATTGGATTGCTCCTCTATTTTGTTTTCCCTTGGGAAATAAGACCAACCTAAAAAGTTTTGCTAACAGTATATGCAGACATTTGCTCTGGATTACTTTAGCTTTCTCATTCTTAGATTTTCTAGTCACATGAATTGAAATGGCACTAATATTTCTAGCATCCTATTCCGACTTGTTGGAAGAACCTACAGTTTACCATCTTTCTACTACAATAGTGGACAGCATAACTCCACCCTTTGTGATATAGGTGTGTGCTATGAACTATGAAGTAACAGATACCCACAATTCTTGAGATGAATTCCATTAAGTAATAAACTGTAACTAAAATGCCTTAGATTCATAAGGAATTCCCATGCTATCTACCAGCCATCCAGCTCAAGGGTAATCAAATTAAGCCAAAAACAAATATGGAAAGAATGAAAGTAAAACAAAAAAGCAATGCTTTTAAAAGAAGGAGAAGAAGAAGAAGAAGATTGTACCTCAGGAGTAAGAATGATAGAACGATTCAAGTATGTTGCCCAGGACTTGAACAGATGAGCTCCAGCTCCACTGCAATTGGTCAAAAGCATAAATGTGTTACAAATGACTAATAGAGCTAATTGTGTCCATACTCCAGCCCAATCAAATAGAATCCAACTTCAAGAAAACTGGTGCATTAAAGATCTTGAAGGAGTAGCATTCTCCTATGCCAAAGGGAGCAACTGAAATGGCAGGTTACTTGTTTAATTTGGTTGCAAATATTGGATCTTTGGCATCTTTACTTAAATTCTTGACTTCTAACCTTCTAGGCCATTAGGCCAAGCAGCATCCAATAATCATGACTTATAGAAGAATTCTTACTGTCAACATCAGGAGTGTAATGCGATTATGACTAAGCCACTATTTCACCCTTCACAAATGATGTGGTATTTTTGTCTCAATCACATCTTCCCATAAACAAGCTCATTTATGTATATCATATAAGTGTACCTAAAATTGCTAAAGGGTATTACCTTGGGAAAACAAATATGTGGTTACGGCCTCCAGATAACCTGAAATATGGCATTTGACTTAATACCTGAAAGTAAAAGGTGCCAAAGAAAAATTGAAAAATCAAAATCACATTTTACATCACTGATAAAAACAAACATAGACAGAAGTTGTAATAATTCAATCGATCTTCATTCACAACGAGAAGTTGTAATAATTCAAAAATCACCAGTACCAAACCAAAGTTTGCCTAGTCAGTAAATTACAGCCAGGTTCAAGATTCTGAGACATTACTACCTTCACATAGGTTTGATTTATTTCTTTATCATTCAAGCCACCCATCATCCGGACACATTTAACATAACTTGGCACAAAGAACAAGTCTGCTTCCTCTTTCCTCCTAGTCCGAAATCTTGATTGCAAGAGCATCCTGTGTATCTTAACCTACTCAGTGTTATAAAAATAAATTAAAAATAGGAAAAAGAAAACAAAGAAGCACAGTCGTAATTCGAAATACCAAAAGCATATGAAGCAGGTAAGGAATAAAAATTGTAACCCAAAACAAAACTTACACAATCTTTAGCATTCTAGATATAACTTCCCCAATCCCCAATGTGGAAGAACTACGGGAAGAAACTTTGTGGTGGGGTAATGACTAATGATAACAAGAAATATCTAACATGGCCTCGACAATACTTTTCATTTTGTTTAGACTGAATTGGGAACACCAAGCTACAAATTTTAAGTACTTACACAGTTACACTTACAGTTGATGGTCAAGGAAACGAGTGGCAACAGTGCATAAAGGCTCAGGCACTAAGAAAGAAAGCAAATAAGCTTGCTCATTTTAGATCAATTTTCTATATTACAACCATAAATAAATCATTAATCACATATGGGCCACTTTTAACAAGCTTACCAAATTAGCTGAAAGCTTAACGCATTGGCAAAAACCAAGATAATACCGACGAATTAAGAATTCTATATTGATTACCCTCCAAACTAAAGAAGCTTAGTAGAAGAAGTTACCTGAGTGCCCCATTGGCCTTTTAGACAGGAATCAGGCGAAATCTTCCCTTCCCGGCCATACAAGAGCAAATTGAGACCATCAATCTCGCGCTCATCGTAGACGTAGATTTTGAGGGAAAGGTGGGTCCCGTAGCCGCGTTGGGGCCAGGTCATGGACCCCGTATCGGAGAAGCGTACGACGCCGTTGGCGGATCCATGGTCGTCAGTTGGGTAGTAAGTGGAAAAGGAGGAGCAGGGGTTGAGGGACTGATCGAAGAGACGAGTAAGGAAGAAGGTGAGAATGACTAAGGCTAGGGCGCCGATCTGGTGGGTGCGGGTGCAGGGCGTGGCGGCGGAGTGGTGGTGGGGCGCTGAGCCAAACAGCCTGCTGCTCTTGCTGCTCATTGTTGCGATGAGAATCAGATACGGTGAGAGCGAGCGCAACGGCAAGGCTGATGACGAAAGGATAAACGACGACGCATTTGCTATTCTTATTTTTTCGTGTGTTCGTTACAATATTTCCAAAAAATATGACTCATTTTATTTCAATAATAATGTTGTCTATGGTCTTGAGGCCAATTTGACATATAATGTAGCAATAAGTCATCAATAGCAAAGGCAAAGACTTTGTGGTCAAGTTACATAGTAAAAAAATTAATTTATCTGTAGTGAAATGCCACAATACTCACATGACAAATAGTAGCATTAATTCTATTGATTTATTTAAATAAGATATAATGCACTATCTGTATTTCTCAACCTGCTGAAATACAGAGAGTTATATAGAGTTCAATTTGATACCATTGAACCACAAGATTCTTACCTTGGTAATTGTCTTTATCTTTGTTCATTTATTTTTAAAAATTATCTGATGTTAATTCACATTAATATTGTCTATTATTGTACAAATAAACTAAAGCGTGATGAATAAACATAAGCGACTTTTTTCATGATTTTGGCACATCTAAAATCTAGTATATGATTTTTCAACAAATTGAGATATTATTTTTTGGTGAATTTTTCTACTACAAATAAGATTTTCAGTAGAGCCTACAAAAATTAATAAAAAAATGAAAAGAGACTCGCAGAGTCACAAGTACACACTAACGCATGTAGTACACTGCATGTGCCAACTGGATTCGTAAACAACTTTATTTATTTTATTTTATTTTTTTTTTTTTTTACATTTTTCTATCAATTTTTTATTTTTCTTTCTTATTTTCTTCTATTTTTCCTTTCCCCTCCTCATCCTCACCATTATTATATGATATTTACTTCATGTAAATATCATTTATAACCCTCAAGATTTACATGAAGTAAATATCATGAAACACCATAACGAATATATATTATTATATTAATCATTTAGATATTTTTTAAAAAAATTTATAGTTTTTGTTTAAAAAAATATTAATAAAACTAGTACATTAATTTTCAAAAAAAAAAAAAAAAAAAAACTAGTAAATTAGTCAACTACCATGTAGTGTGGTTACCATTTGAAATTGGTAGTTATAGATTCAAATATACCCGGTGGTCGAAGCTTAGATTTGTTGAGTTAAAAATATTTGAGAAAGTATAAAACATATATTATCTTAGCTAGCTTGTAATAATCATGAGTATTTCTCAAAAAAAAAAAAAAAGTTGTAAAATAAAAAAAAAAAGTAGAAATACAAACCGATTTTATTATTCTTCACGAATGATACAAATTGTTCCATTACAATAATGATAAAACATATTAAAAGCTTAAAGTATACATTCACACGCTTAGCTGACCACCAAATAAATTGAATGAATGGCGATCGTATAAAAATACAAAGCACTAAAAGTATAATAATTAAGATGATTTTATTGTTCTTCAATCTCCAGGAATGAAACAAACTGTTATCAAACAACACATTATAATAAATCTTAAAGTCTCTTAGTGTACAGCTTAAAGTACACATTCATACGATTAGCAGACCGGCCACCAAGTGGAATGAACAGTAGTAATCATATATATAAATTAAAGAAATGAATTTCATAGGAATTTAATAGAATTATAATGAAGTGGATTGAGTATTTGGATAATACAATTCACGTAATGCATGCATGAAAAGAATCGATCACGTCTTAGTGGGGAGGAGCTGAGGTGGAGAGTTTTAGTAGATGGGAGGTGGGGGTGGTGGGGACTTGTATACGTATGGGTTTACAGGTGGGGGTGGTGGGGACTTGTACACGTATGGGTTTACAGGTGGGGGAGGAGACTTGTAGACGTAGGGATTATGCGGCGGCGGAGACCAGTATACCGGATGTGGTGGTGGTGGCCGTGGAGATGGATGACATACACAAGGAGGTTTATACGGTTCTGCTGGGGGGGATTTGTAAACTGGCGGTGATGGTGGCGGAGGAGAGCTGTAGTGGTAAACCGGCGGCGGTGGCGGCGGAGAGTTGTAGTTGTAAACCGGAGGATGTTTAGGATAAGGATGTTCGGGTAGCGGTGGCAGTTCCGGCGGCTCCTGGAACCAAGCCGGATGTTTTGGAGAAGAGTATTCAGAGTGTGCGGAACACAATGAAGAGTAGGCGGCTAAGGAGAGTAGTGTCACTAAAATAGTGGCCATTAGAGACTCCATTGTTGCAACGCTAGCTAACATGCTTAATTGATATGATAGATAGATGATATTGGCAACCCCCAAGTTGCATGCCCTTTTATAGCTTCACTTTTCTCCTTCTTAGTTCTTACCTCTATTAATTTAACTTTTTTTTTCCTTAGCCTGCATATATTGTTTTGGTGTGTGAGAGGTGAGCTTCCATTCATATTTTAATTAAGAAGTTAAACCAAATGCAATAAGATATTGGAGTACTGTTGCGTGACTTCTGTAAAGTTTTGTACGTTGGATTGGTAACTTTATTTGAAGAGTTTGTCTTTGCATCAAATGGTACATACCGCGTACCTTGTATTTTAAGATATGACGGCCTATTTGGTAAATGGTTGTTAGCCGATAGCTAATAGCGGTTAGCTGATTGGGTTAATTATAGGGTATAACTAGTTTATAACATTAGCTGATTATAGAAAGATGTTTGGTAAATTAGTTGTCAATTGATAGCTGTTTGGTATAATTTTCTTTTTTTAAAAGTGGTTGAAAAATGTTTTGAACAACTTTTTGAACATTAGCATTTTGGAGTTACAAAAAGCTAATTAATCAAACACTTATATGATTTTTTAACCAAAATAAAAAAATTAATAGTGTTCAAATAAGTCAAAAATGACCTATAGACTAACTATTTTACCAAACATGACCATTATATTTATAATAATAATAATAACTATGATAATAATTTTGATCTATTAATTTATTTCTTGCATAATTGAGTACAATGTATTTCAACAAATAAACAAACGAACTTGTAATCTTATAGGTACTAAGTTAAGTCTGACCAAGTAATTATGTTGGGGTCGCTCCCATGTCGAATGAAGTTGTACTTATAACATTGTAATTACCAAGTCAACCGTCTTATCAATTTGGTTGAGATTGTCCCATGTTGGGATGCTTGTTGATATTTGGAAAAGGGGAAAAAATTATATTTAATGGGAAAGAGATAGGAGTAGCCAGTAGGTATGGATAACTCAAAAACTGATGAGCTAGCTCAATAGAGTTAGGTTGACCCAACCCTTTAAGTTTCTCATTTGCAAGGTGAGTTGGAAGAAAATGTTTTTCAATTTCTTTTTTCAAGTGTGTTGCAAATTTGCATAAATTTGCACAGATGTCCGGGTGGACCGCTATAGTAACCTCTGGGACGATAATTGCTCTCCTCGCTGTAGGCATATGAATATTGCATATTTTGAGTTTATTGTTGAAGTCGTGTCCTTCTCTACTATGGTGATTTATTCAGTGAAGAGAATGCAAAAATGGAAGAACATTGCGTGAAGCTAAGGTTATTATGGTTAAATAAGAGGAGACTTTGGGACGACAATTGCTCTCCTCACTGTCAGCATACAAACGTTGTATATCTTGAGTTGTTGTTGAAGTCATATCTTTTCCTACTATGACAATTCATTCAGCGAAGAAAATGCAAAAATGGAAGAACATTGCGTGAAGCTAAGGTTATTATGGTTAAATAAGAGGAGACTTTGGGACGACAATTGCTCTCCTCACTGTCAGCATACAAACGTTGTATATCTTGAGTTGTTGTTGAAGTCGTATCTTTTTCTACTATGACAATTCATTCAGCGAAGAAAATGCAAAAATGGAAGAACATTGCGTGAAGCTAGGTTATTATGGTTAAATAAGATGAGAAAAGGAGCAATTAAAGTAAAATTCCATAATTACCCTCGACTTAAACAAAAATTTGACATCTGGCTAGACGGAGGACAATATTGATTAACATTTACAAAGTTGAGGACTTCATCGAGAACCAAATTGGTAATTTTGCTATAATCAATGGACCATTTTGATAATTAACTCTTATATATATTAGTGTAAATGTACAGATTTATTAAAATTGAAAGTTTAAAATGGCTAATGTTTGTAAACAAAAATTAGTTCAATTCACTTGATAAGTTAGAAAATGTAAGGTTAAAGTTAAAAAAAATAAAATTATATATATAAAAAAAACTGATAAACTTAAACTTATAAGCCTAATAAGATTAGCTTGAAACTGAGCATGCTAACCGATTAATGAGTAGGTGTAGAATGGTCAAAATTTTCATGATTCACAATCCTAACCATTGTGGACTAAATCATATCGTATGCCTTATCCAAATTAAAGGCCCTGTTAATCTCCATCAGATGTCACTTAGCTCAACGTTGGTAATGCTAATTAATACAGTAATCCGTATGTATGTGTTCATAATAATTAATAATGGTGACAGTGACACGTACTACTAAGTTATATGCACGCATGTTGCAAGCTAAGTTGTAGGAATTAGTTATTTCGGTTATCAAGGATTAGCTAGCTGCAATAAGTGTGTAATTGCTGAAGATAATAAGGTTTATAAGCACAAATTATATACTTGAAATTGCAATTACGCAGTATCATAAAGCTTGGGCCTGGTATGTGGAGATTGCAGAGGGATCGGAGGTTTCAGTTCCGTTTAGTCTTCAGCAGCATAAAGTGCTTTAATGGCCTCAACATCATCATAACTGCCCAGAAATATGGGAGAACGCTCATGGATCTTCTCTGGAACCAAGTCAAGGGCCTGTACATGAGACCAACACTAGTCTTTAAAAATCTCGAAAAAAATCAGGTTATTCATAACCAAAAGTTAAGTGGTGTGGTCATATATACCCGCAGTTTGCCAGTAAATGCTTGGCCTCCAGCCTGCTCCATTAAGAATGACATTGGAAACACTTCATATAGAACCCTGTTTTTGTACAATTTCCATAATCATTAACTACTTTTTATCAAGTTGTTAGTAAAGAATGTCTCAGGTTAGGTTTCCTTTTAACTCACCGCAGCTTCCCATTGGGACTTTTCTTATCAGCAGGGTACAAGAAGATGCCACCATAAAGTAATGTGCGATGAACATCCGCAACCATGCTGCATATCAGAAACCAAGAAACTTATATTTTAGAACTTCCTACATCATCAGTTTGATGTCATTTATTTCACAATCTGCTGGGTACCATAAAATCTAGATGAACCAACATATTCAGCAATTTTGTCTAACCCAAATATACCAGCATTTCTGCTCTCTCCCCTCATATTGTTAAAGTAAATAGTTTCATTAGCCTGAAGGGTAATTAAGTATAGAAATTGCAAGACACATAACTACAAAAGAACAGATTTATATTAGACTGTTTCCTTAGAACTTAAAACAGCTAGAGAAACTAAGTGGAAACATGCTCCCATATTCATGAAAAGCCATGTACTTGCAGACACATATTGTTGAGGAGTTTAAATACCTTCCGATGTATCTTAGAGACTTTGGTGATGAACCATCTTTAGGGAACTTGCAGTTTTCAACAAATCTGACAGTTAAATAATTATAAGACTTGATAGATAATATAATATATGAAAAATAGAAACAAAAACAAATAGAAAAGCCAAGGCCAGTCCAACATACTTAGCTGTTGGACCATCCCAGTTTTTAGCATTTCCTTCATTCACAGAATAGATCTTTCCTTTCTTTGGGATCTGTACTAAACCAATAGTGATAAGTCGAGCTAAATAAATATGCAGTACTTAAGTTGCACATACAACCTAGAAAGAAGATATCAAATGGAATTAACAGTTTTCCTTTGGGGTAAATAAATATTCTAAAAAGTAATGGCAAAGATCAGCCTGAACATTTGAAGGCTGTGGTATAAAACCCCATGAAATTCAATAGAAATTAAATGACAAAACAATTTGTTGGAGACTCATAAATGCATCAGAAGAAGTATTACCAAACAACTGTACCTTGATATCTGGATGAGTTAGTATGAATTCCCCTAGTGATGGATCAAGGGTAAAGCCATTAACTCCAGATCCAGTGCTCAACACAAACTGCAAATTAAATCACTGAAATATCATGACGAGACAGACAAGTATTATCAATATGATGTAACAGTAAAGATGACCAGGTAGGTATCCGAGCTGAACTCATCAACACTATGATGGAATTGCAAGCCCAACCAGAAAATGGTAATGAAATTAAAGACAGAGTAGGCAATTTTGCACACCGTGCAGGAGCTCCCATACATGCAGTAGCCAGCAGCTAACATATTCTTCCCAGGTTGCAAAACATCACTTAATTCTGGTTCATGATTATCTTTGATCATGTAAATCCCAAAAATCTAGATAAAGGTAAGCAAAATAGAAAAATAAACCATTAAACATATTTAGTGTTTAGAAATAATTATTAGTAATGGTTGAGCAAGGAATCATACAGTTCCAATAGAAACACCACAATCAATGTTGGAAGATCCATCCAATGGGTCGAAAACAACACAATATCTGCATTTCAGAGCAAACAGTAATGCACTCGAATTAGAGAACGTTCAGATATCACAGATTTCATATTCTAAAATTTCAGGTGGTGAGAAACAGTACGCACTTTCCCCGCAATGGTGGCTTCACAAAGGTTGCCTCGTCATCTTCCTCAGAGACTAGAATGGACTGAAAAAATAAAAAAATAAAAATTTGGGAATGTGTTCTGTTTGTTAAATCGGGAAAATGGAAAAAGGATTATAAAAGGTTGTCCAGCAACTTACTGTTCGACCACTGCTAACCAAGGCTTTGATAAAAACTTCATTTGAGAGTACATCCAGTTTCTTTTGTTCTTCACCCTGTATAGTACTCAAGGTAAACAGCCACTTCAAGAACAACATATTAAAGTAAAATATCCTAATGGAAACAAGACGGATAAATAGCTCCACTTGCCTGTACATTGGTCTCACCAGCAAGCCCTATGAGTTTCGCCAAACCAGCCTGCATAAAGTCACTAAACAACTAAGAATTTTGAGTAGAAATGGTTGAAAGGAAAGTTCATCAGTTGAATCATTTGATCATTTGTGTATAACAGGGAATTTTCCGTAGTAGGCCCCTTTCTCGCTGCCTGGCTCCTTCCTATTTTTGTATTTTTCTAGTTAACTACATTCCTACTCATCTCTGTTAGGGAAGGGAAAGGGAAAGGGAATTCTTCCAATCAAACGATGTTATTGTGCTCTACCTTGTTTCGATTGTATTAAATTAGTATCATCACGTACAAAAGGAAGAAGGAAGACTGGAAAGCAGTTCATCACACTAATCGTGTCATACAAATAACCGAAAAACATACAATACAATACAATACAAGCAGAAAACTAAGATTTCCAGGTTCCGGCAAAAGCAAAATGAATAGTCCATTAGTCATGAGTACCTTGTTGACGGCAGTGCAGACGAATTTGCAGCCAAGGACAATGTGGCTGAGGAGGATGGTGAAGTCGCCACGAGACTCCGGGTGCTTCGTCTGCTCGTTCAGCACAAACCTCGTTATGGTCATCAGGTCCGTCCGGTGAGCGTCCGCCGCGTGATCCATCTCTCCCGATTCCTCTAAACCCTTGCTCAGCGGAAATGGGACACAATTGGAGCCAGAGAGGTTTATATAAAGATGGCGGAGGGCATTGGGAAATGGGAAATGGGAAATGGCCAAAGGGGTGTGGGGATGGGGCTATCGAATAACTGTGGAAAGCGGGAGGACACGTGGAGGCAGGCCGTGATCCATGGCAACAGTGCCTGCCAAAAGATAACGCCTCTCGTCTTTATTGTATCTGTGTGTATGGCTACTTGCCTTGACGTGGTGCTTATTCGCCATCCTCATCCGGCGGTTATCCTGCAAAAACCCGTCATTTCCACACGTCTCTGACGTCTGCTAGCTTCCCATAAACTCTATCTCACTGTCAGCTCCGCCACGCCCATATATTAAATTAAGTCAAATATCTATTTTGTCAACTCTTATCTCTTACCATAATTTGACAAATTATTATGTGAACATGAATCTATCCTACAAGGTGGATTCATATTCAAAAATAAATAATTTATATATTGAATGTTCACAATTTACATTCTGAATATTCACAATTTTTATATACTAAATGTTCACAATTTACATACTGAATATTTATAATTTTATATTCTAAATGCTCACAATTTACCTATTGGATGTTTACAATAGTATATAAATTGGCCATGTTTGATAAAATAGTTAGCCTATAGGTTAATTTTGACTTATTTGATCACTATTAATTTTTTAATTTGGTTAACAAATCAATATAAGTGTTTGGTTAATTATCTTTTTGTAACTCTAAAATGCTAAAATTCAAAAAACGGCTCAAAACAAAATTTTTAATTAGCTTTTTGAGAAAGAAAATTATAGCAGCTAACAACTAATTTACCAAACACCTTTCTACAATTAGCTAATGTTATCAACTAGTTATACATTTTAATTAATCCAATCAACTAATAACTAACAGTTATCAGCTAACAACCATTTATTAAATAGGACCCTTGTGTATTTAATCTGAATTCAGCTTACAAGATAGACTTGGGTCCATGACATAATTATCCCCATAATTTATGCCCTCAGATATTTTTGGGCTCCACGCAAACAACAATCACAAAATATTAAATTCCTCTAATTATTTACTCCCTACTTTTTTGAAGGTTTATAATGCTGTATATTAATGAATAAAGTGAATGATAGAGTCAGGAGGGACAGAGTCCCAGTACATAGAATGCTCCTGATCGAAAGCTAACGAAGCTAAAGTATGGGCATGTAAATTTAAATTTCTAGAAACATAACTTAAAGAACATTTTGCAAATAGCGATATAGTCGTCCTACATTGGTCGATGATGATCCCAAGGTAGGAGTAATTAGCCGTACGGCTTGAGTGTAGATAGTTCCGAAATTCCAAGCAATCCGTTAATATGTCCACCTCCGTAACATCCCGATTTTTAAGCCAAGATAGTGCCTCCTTGCAAGCGAGCGCTTCGGCCATAGTAGCGGAGAGAGCCCCGGGGATCTTTCCACTTGCTGCTGCAATAAAACCGTCGTGGTGTGAGATGAGTACTGCTCCATAAGTCGCCTCCCCGGTATGTGGTCTGTATCCCGCATCGACGTAACATCGTGGGACGCTGCCGGGACCGGCTACGGCTGTCGTGGCGAGCAGTGATGCGGAGACCGTGGGCCGTGATTGGCGATAGGCCTGTACGGCTGCCACCGACCGGCGCCAAGTCTGATTTGGTCTCGAGAGGGCATGTTCCCATACCGCAGTATTTCGGGCACTCCAAATATTGTATAGAATAGCTGCAGCTAGACCACACTGTTCCTCTGTCAAGACATTAAAAATCCACATAAGCCATGTTGACAATGAATCAGAAAAAATATTAGTAACAGGCAATCCCGACAGTTCCCATACTAATCTAGAATAATCACACAGTATTAACGCATGCATGGCGTTTTCATGCGTCACACGGCACATTGGGCAATTCGGCTCAATCTCAACTGGCCTCCTTATTAGATTATCGGTAGTAGGGAGCTGAGGATATCAGAAACTGCTCTCCACAAAAAAGTTTATTAGAATAGCTGCAGCTAGACCACACTGTTCCTCTAATTATTTACTCCCTACTTAATATTACAATCTATATTTAATTTTTACGTATTCCTTTAATACAAATTCATTTTTAATGTATTAAATATTTATTTTTAATACTAAACTCGTTGAATTATCCAAGTTAGCCCCACATTTGTTATCCTCCAATATAACTTGCATAATAATTCTGTTCACAACAACATTTTTTAAAATACTCATAATTTTTTACAATATTGTATTTATTCTATACTTTCTCAAATATTTTAGTCCAAAAAATTTAATCTCCACCATCATAATTCAAATATATGACTACCTATTTAAAATGATAACCAGATACCATCAATAGTTGGCTACGATTTTTATTTCTTTCTTCCCTCAGTATGTATCCTCCCTGCCTTCTTTGAATTCATTGCAGAGGGAAGACAACAACCTATTAAATATACTGGGCCTCTTTTTGTGGGGCATCGGGATCTTTAAGGTTCATTTGTGGTGATCCAGTTGCATATTGCAATCCCTTTAATTTGTTCGAGGGCATCTGTCGCTATTGCTTTACAAATTAATGTCTTTCAGGTTCATTTGAATAAATATCACTATTGTTGTATTCTAAGTGTATTGGGGTATTTCTTATCATATTTCAAAGGCATCTGTAAGTCTGTAATCGCTTCTTGTTTAATTTTATCACAATACAAGGAAAAAAAAAAGTGTCTTTTATCTTTTATATCTCTTAAATAGTCGACTTTATATATAATTAGAGTGAGCGAAGATTTCAGGTGAATCTACATCTAATTTGCTAAAGGCCAATTTGTTTTTATTTTTATTTTTATTTTTATTTTTAATATCTACATCCATATTCATTAGCAATGCATATCTAGTCCAATCATATATAATGAATTTGACATATTAATTAACTGTGGATCATCTTGCAATGTGGACCTAAGTCACAAAATAATTTGCCAATGTCATTGTATCTTTTTCCAGCTTCCAAATTAAATTGGATACTATAGATTCGACATTTGATCGAATTGAGACCATATGGTCAATTTTGAGTTTGGTTCCTCGATGTTTGGAACCAAAACTGTTGGGTCCAAACTTTTTCTTAAGCAATTTATGCTCACATACTTACATGAAAAATATCTATTCATTTTTTTTATTTAATTAATATTTTATTCTTTTTGACTCATGGATGAGGTATTTGTTAGTGTAAATATAACACTAATCATATATTGGATTAAAACTTACATTGTGGAATAGAATGCAATATAACAATAATATATATTGAATAATGAAAAGCTTAGAGTAGCCAGGAACTTTAAAACTACGAATGTAAAATTATTCAAACTGTTTAATTTCTTGTTTTTAGGTTATAAAAATAGCATTTAACTACGTGTTATATAGGAGCGAAATTTACTTCGTGCATATAGAATTTTGGATACTAACTACATATTTTCCTTGCTATTAATAAAAATAGTATTTACAATAGTTGTTTTAGAGTTACAATATTCAATAAGTGTGGCGTTTACAGCCACCAGCAAGATCAATGTGGCTATAGAGGTGAATAATCTAAAGAGAACCAAAGCAAAAAGGTAGGCCCATGCATTGAGCTTAACTAGAGTTACAATATTCAAACGGTTACAAATAAAATAACTACATGCATCCTCTCTCATTATGTCTTGAGGATCCTCTTTGATATATCACCAACACAATTCTGGGAGTGTTTGGCAATTGACAGTTAGCTAATAGCTGATTGTGTTAATTGATTTGACAAGTTGACAGCTAGTTATAGAAAATGTTTGGTAAATTAGTTGTTCATTATTAACTTATTAAAATAATTGTATAAGAGCATAAGTATATTATGTTATTTACTTAACTCATTTTTTAATAATTTATTATTATCGTTGTGTTAGTATTAAGTATTTTATAATTATTATTTTTGTTGTATTATTAATAATGTTATAAACTTATAATTATAGCAAAATACTCCGTAGTTAATAATAATTTAATATAAAAATATAATAAACATAAGTTGTTAATAATAACTCAACATAAGTTGTTTATATATATATATATATATATATATATATATTATTTATAGTAGAGTAACTTTTGAGAAGATAAACATGCTAATAGTTGGATGATTTGAGCAGTGCAACTAGGGGGGGGGGGGGGGGGGGGAGGGGAAGGAGCAGAAAAATACACAAGAGTATAAGATAATTCATAGGGCGCAAGCTTATTCTCCTCTGTTCATGGCTTTGGTCATGGCAGAGCTGAATGCTAACAAATTTGATTCATTCTTTAAAAAGGTTGAACCCCAACCCTAAGGGCCCTCACAACCGACCTGACAGAGCATTTGGAAGGAAAATAAATTTGATTCATAATTTTATATTTGGTTGTAAATTGTTGTTATGAATTATTTAGGCATTTTTTGTTTGTTTTTATTCTTTTCACTTTCACAATGATATTCTTAATAAGAATTATGATGAGAAGTTTTTGCATTATTAGTTGATGAAATTACCATAATAATGTTATGCATGTGTTTTATCGGCTAAATTATGTTTTATTATATGTTTTTTTTTTATTATTTATATTAAAATCTGGCTAACTTTGTTGTAACTTAGTTAAGATGTCTGAGAGAAGAGTAAGTAATTTATAGTGTATTGTAAATTATTTAATTTTTCTAAATCGGGGTTTAGATGTTATAGGCATATAAAAAACTAATAATACATGATTACCTTTAAATGCTAGAGAGACTAATTTGGTCATAGTTAGAATAAATTGTACTCCGTATAAAATTACTTTTAGTAATGAATTCATGTTTCTAATACTTTTCTCCTTATTATACTCATTCATATTGTCCCGTGATGGTTTGATTAGACTGATTATGTGATTCATGAACTGTATTCATTTTAGTATATTTGTTATATTCACAGTTTTCAGTTATCATTTTTTGATTGCTAACTATTTTATTCGGTTATGAACATTTCTTATTGGATCAACTATTATTTTTCACAATGGCCCTATTTGGTAAAAAATTGGTCTATAGGCCAATTTTGACTTATTTGACCATTATTAATTATTTGATTTAGTTAAAATATCAATATAAATGTTTGGTTAATTAACTTTTTACAACTCCAAAAGGCTAAAATTAAAAAAGCTACCCCAAACAACTTTTTCAATTAGCTGTTTTGAGAAAAGAAATTATACCAAACAGCTATTAGCTAACAGTTAATTTACCAAACACTTTTCTATAATCAACTAATGTTATCAACTATTTATACATTCTAATTAACACAATCAGCTAACAGCTAACAACTATCCACTAACAGCCATTTTACCAAACATGGCCAATGTGTTTTTACACGATTCTTATAATTGCGAGAATAATTAAAACTGCCCATGAAGTACCAAAAAATATTTGTATGTTTAAACTTGATCACACCTTATCTACTCTGTCATTTATCTATCTATTAGTGAATCAATAAAATTAGACTTATAACATGAACTAAAAAATGTTGATAATTTATTTTAAGATAATTGTGTATCAATTTCCGTGTTCTACTTATAAATCAAATAAATTAAATTTATAATATAAGAACTTTTCAAAAATTTGTAGTAATTAAAGGGTGGGCATGGGCTGACGTCTGACGGGTTATTTAAAAAATGCAAATTGAGAGAATTCTGTGCTCCGAAGTATTATTTATTTGGTTTTATTCTATCAGTGGGCATAAATTTTGGGAAAGAACGCAGAGAAGTATGCAAAAAGGTGATTCCATTCCATGCTTGACTGCTTGAGAGTTGAGGCTGGGGGCCAGTATCCAGTATTTTCTTTGTTTGCTGGTTGGCTTGGTGAGTTGGTGTAATCACATTTCACATTTTAGCCTATTTGTGGGAGATGCGTGTGGTGAACACGATAATTTCGCACAATTGGGTCCCGCTGATTCCTCCGCCCATACATTGAATCTGCAGCGTCTCCCAATTTTGCTTTTTTGTCCTTCTATTCTACTGTACACCAAACACCTTCTTCTTCTCTCTGCGTCGTCCCCGACTCGGGATGCCTCTCGGATTTCTTTCTTATGGAATCTGGAATCTCAGCTGAAAATCATGCGTAAGTTCTTGTTTTTTCTGACAACTGAGATTTGATTTTTTGTTTTAAATTGTTGCTTTTGGGCATTTTAGGCTGTTGGTGTTAATGGGTATCCTTGTATGGTAAACATAATCAAATCCTTCTGTGGGATTTTAGTTAATTGCCGGATACGCGCATAATCTTTACTTATATAGTTGGATTGCTTGAATTGATTATTTAGATTGGTTATTATGTTCTCAGGGAATAGTGAAGTGAAATGGATCGGTTTTCGTGAATTGCGGAGTCAAAAACTGGTTCTTTGAAGTAAATGTTTTCCTTTTGGACAAGGGTTTAGTGCTTATGAACTAGGGTATAGGGAAAGAAATAGTTTTTAGCTGAGGAATGGAAGGAAATTTATCAGCAGGGAATATGATGACGGGCAATGGCTCTTACACAAATATGGATTTGCAAGGTTCAATTAGGGTTCATCATCATCAACCCCAACAGGTTGGGCTTCATCAACAGCATCACTCTCTTCCTAGACAAGGATCAATGGTTCGCCCCCCAATTCATGAGAGTTTTCCCCTCTCCATTGGTGGTCCACAAGGTTGTAATAAGAATATTTCTTGGAGTGACTATGGCAGAGGTGAGGGGGTTAAATCTGCAAGTGACGAAGAGGAGCCTAGCTTTGCAGAGGATGCTGCTGAGGGCTACAATGATCAGAATAGGGGGAAGAAGGCACTCATGTGGCAGCGTGTGAAATGGACTGACCAGATGGTGAGGTTGCTAATTACTGCTGTTT